TTTAGCTGATTCATAGTGCTGGTCCAGGTGCAGATGCAAACACATTACTCTTGTGAAGGTCACAGGGCAACTCTGGATTCTCAAGGATTAGAAAACTACCACTGATTTTCTCAAAGGCAAATATGAGGTAAAGGCTTCCCAAAGTACATTTTGAAAAATAAACCTTTTTTCTACCTCTGTCAACTTAATTAGTTATGAGAAAAGAGTTTCCAAGGTCATATCAGTTTCAAGCAATAAAACCTGAATAATAGTTGGAGTTCCTGCAACCCACTTTATTCACCTCAACTAAACTTGAAATGTGTTTATGTGAAATAACAATTGGCATATGATATATGGACAAAATCCAACAAAATCCTAAATATCACCACTGAGACAACACCATATAAACCCTAATGATCTATGTTTTTCCGAGAATTTCTTAAAAACATGATTTTGAAATGATGCCATATTTTAAAAGTCCACTGCAGTAGACAACACAGTTTTGTTCAAGGTCTCAGAGAGCTGTAAAATATTGAGAAATAAAATGGAAGATCTTTATGCTTTTTGTCTCTGTTGACAGTTTTTACACAGTTTGTTGATAAGAGGTGTAAGAGGGAGTTACACCAAACGTAAGCAATGTCACTATGTACGATAACACATTTAACACATTTATTTCGCTATAAATTACTTTTTGGCAAACAAAATGAATAGAGAGAGTCAAAGTGAAACTGGAACATCCAGTCTTCTGTTTGAAAAATAACAAAACAACACTAATAACTAAAAATACAGCCTTGGAACAGAGCTCTCAGTATGTTCATTTGTTTCGATAAGGAAGGTAGTATTTTAAAAACATATCAAAACTGTCATTTATTTAACATTTCAGATTTCTGCAGCCTTTAACAAACACCATTTCCCTTAAACCATAGACCTTCATGACAGTTGAAAGAAAGCGAGTGTGAGATTGCATTGAATTACAGAAGCTAGTGGAACAGAGGCTAGCCCAGTTGTGGTGCCATGACTTTGGCTCTCTGTATGTAGCTCTGTATTCATAGCCGGTAATATAAAAGATGAACTATTTCCTCATTTGGTATAACAACAATGTTTTATGGTCATTTCTGTAGTTTGTCGCCTTCATCTAAGGGAAAGGTTACCACTTCAGTGCTTTTCTACATATGAGGTCAGAAGAAAATAACAAATGTAAATGGTTGATTTTGGAATTATTATTCCTTTTTTTGTACTTACAGCATTGGGGTTAAATATGAAACAGGACTTTGACTGCTGTCTCTTGGCATGACCTATATTTTCCAACCGAGGGTATTTTGCCGACTAGCCCCACACAAAAAGAGTATCGGGCATGCACAGCTTTTCCTGCCCACCCATCACTTTAGAAGGCCGTTTTTGTTCGTTGTTGTGACAGAGCTGCATTTTAAATAGACTGTGGGTTGAAAGGCAGGCATGGTGGTTTGAGGGGTGAGCCTGTCCAGTAAGCAATGGTATTTGTGTGAGCGAAGGATCAGGGAGTTTGCGCTTCTGCTGGGTGAGGAGAATAACAATGACTCTGGGCATAATCAGTTCTAAACAGCCGCGGCTTGTTGTGCTTTAATATGGGCCAGGGGCTAGATTTTCTGGAATGGCAACAAAACACACACACAAGGCTGAAAGATTTATAGCATACACACTGTTACTAAATAAAGCCCAAAGTGCTTCACAGAAATATACAGAAGAAATCCAAAAAACACACATATATTGGTGATCTCACCCACAGGGGGAGACGCTCAATACCCTGGAATCCATGACTGAAAAGCACAATCATCTGTAGTCTTAAACTTTGATTGTGATACAGCTACAAAGGAGACTTTGCTACCAGTGGTGTATCAGACTTGCTTAAATCTTTATAGATTATACGCAGGCTTGTATTGGTATACAATTTCACCAAGGGATGACAAAGTGACCCCTGGAATATCAGTGAGTATTATCAGTGCATCAGTAATTTGGTTCAAACCATAGATTGCATGGTTCAAATTAGCGTGTTGCATTCATGTATTGTAAATCCATGTTATGTCTAAGTTGGATGGATGCAGTTCAAACCTGTATCACAATGTAACTCAAAGGCAATTTGAGTTATAACTTGTGATTTAGCTTCCCAAGTAAGATTTAAAGAGAGAGAACCTCATCTTTATTGTTTGTCTTGGGTATTTGGCAAAGGCAAATCAACCAAAGGTGAAAGAATGTATCGGGGATGCATTTGCATTTACATCACACGCTATTAACACCACATACTGCACTGTGTGTGGACACATGCAGGCACAAATGTGTCTAAAGCAATTCTATCTCAATGTACCTTAAATTTGTTTTGGGTACAATTTAGCAGCTGGATCACCAAACACAGCAACTTGAGCACACCTGGATTTATTTGTGGTTATGCACAAATCGATTGCCATCCAGTGACACGAGACACAATTTCATGGGAAGAGAAATCTACCTCTACATGTGTTTGTGTGAGCCTTAAACACAGATATTACTGTGAGAACATCAGCGACAGATTAGTAACAGAAAGGAATAACGGCTAAATCACAAGCTATAAGAGAAGGTACAGTAGCACTGGCACACGCACAGGAAGGTAACACTGAATAGTTGGCATGCGTCTCTTGGAAAAGCATAAAAAGCAGTAGAACATCTCTGCCTGCTTGGTAAAGAAAAGAAAAGTCACTCAATGCCTCTTCTTATTCACACTGCCTTCCTGTACTCCATGGATGAGAACTGAAAGGTGATAAAGACGAAGCCTTTTCAAATCTGAATACCCAAGTAGACTGTGCTACTGAGGATACTACTGACTGCTCATTTGTCATTGCTGCACATTATTTCTGCAGTTACATCTGTATTTAATTTCAGTATAATGTGAAGCTAATCAATTTAGGTCACCATGCAGAGCTCCAACCGCAAATTTATCAGTGTGTGTGTGTGAGTTCTCAGGGAGATATTGTAGGAAGGTATCCTAAATAGAAGGAAAGCAGCAGACAGAGCGACAATCCAGATGAACTGATGTTTTGTGCTTCTAACCATTTTGTTATTTAATAATTTCATCACGCATTTTGTTCAGCACAGCAAAGACTCAAAATCAAACCTGCACCTTGGAATTGGAATCCAAGGGCAACAGTTCAATTCACTTTTTTAACTTTAACTTTGAATGCACCTGTGGTAAAAAAAAAAAAAGAGCCCTTTCTCTTTCTCACTCACAGCACAACTCAAAACTCTGGGGCTCTGTTTTAGCTCAAACTTTGATCTTTTAGTTCCTCATCTCGATAGAAAGGAGTTTAGCTGCTAGCTGACATAAAATGTCTCATAAATTATCAAGTGAGGCTGCACTGTGTAGTCTGAGGTTAAGCTATATAGCTGACTGGGGTTGACTACACTGCTTTGTAAGTGCACAAGCAGCATTTAGAAAAGATGCATGGTGGACTGGAGCTGACATGAGTTCCAGCATTAGTCAGCAACCCTGTCAGCTATGTGTAAGGAGTACATTTCTGTGTGTATTTGTGTGTGTGTGTGTGTGTGTGTGTGTGTGTGTGTGTGTGTGTGTGTGTGTGTGTGTGTGTGAATAATGGATTGTCTATTTAAATTCTTATATCACAGCCTTTTAGGTTGCTGATCCTTGAGACGACTGAACGTTTATTGCTGTGTTTTCCCAAAATCTTTTTGGCCATATAGTTTTGGAGACAGAGACTGATTTCAATTAGTATTTGCAGAAGAACCATGTGCCACACATTTCACTCTAAAACTAGCCATCAGGGGATAAAAAATACATTTTAGATTGTGTATGCGTGTATCAGACTTATGTCCAGCAGGGTTACAAGAGAAAAGTGGGTCAGTTTTTATTTGGTCAACAAAGCGAACAGCCATGTGTTTCCCATTGCAAAAGTTGACTGTCAGAAAAAATGTTTGCTCAAGCATGACACTGAAAGATGCTGTAGTGGAATTGGACCTAAAGAACAGAAAAAAACATATTTTGCATCATTTTACAAAACCAGTAGTTGCATGTTTTTGTCTATTAATGGATGTCAAACTAATATTTTTGGATTTATTCTGATAGCCAACACAGGGCACGTACAGGGGTGTTTCAGGACAGAGAAGTTATTTGTTGTTCTTTTGTGGAAAAAATCTATTAGAGTTTATTGCTGTTGCTTACAGTTAAGAGGGATATCATTTATTTTCTCTGTATATTTTTTCTCCTCTGTTCACCGTATTTCCATTAAATTGACAGTCAAATTAACAAGTTTCTTGTATTTTCCCCTTTCCAGTTCCAGCATGCATAAGGCTCAATGACTATCTTGGTAACCTGTTTTTACCTGATCCAACTTTCTTAATTGGAACTAGGGAAATATTGATATATCCATCAAAAGACTGTTTGCATCACCCAGACAGAGCTTTTTAACTGCTATACTGTAGGTTTGGAGAATGCAGCTCAGTGAAATGTGTATGTTCAGAATGGTCCATAGCTGTCGCACTCAACTAGTCATGAGCCAAGAAGCAAGTAGGTGTGGCAGGCTGCCCTGCTATTCTCACTGCACACAGCACTATGAGATCCAGCATTGCACCAGCTCAGGCGTTTGCAACGTGTAGAAAAGCCAAACCCAAAGTATGGATCAAATGGGCTGCCAGCATCATAAGAGAAAGCAGCTGTCAGGTTGGTCAGTCAACTGGTATTGAGGAAAAAGGCCTTGATTCTTCCGGATTGGCTCAGCAATAACAATATACACATTTCAATACACTGGTTAGCATTATAAGCCTTTAAATTTCAAAGCCATGGGTAAAATTTCATCATGGGAGTGCTTGAAATTTATCAGTCAATATTTCAATACTTAACGTCAAACTTAAAGTTCTTAGAGAATAGCTGTTTAAGCAAAGGTTTTAAGATGATTTTTAACTTCAAAAAGCTTCAAAATGTGCTTTACTGTCATACCAGCAAACATTTGTAATGTATTTTTTTTTCACTTTAGAATGAAACTGTTCTACTCTTTCAGATCAGAAGACGTAGACCCACACCTGCCACTTTAGTGGCATCAAGTGATCAATCATCCCCTGGTAAGGCACTTAAATGCAGACACACACACACACACACACACACACACAGACTATTTTTATCACTTATGTGGCGATTGTATTGATTTAAAATCATTATTGAGGGTACCCCTAAACATCATAGATTTCTCTGTTATTAATTATTAAAGCTTGGGTCTTATGTTTGTAGTTTTTTAGTCTTTAGCAGTCTTTAGCAGTTTTTTGCAGTTTTTTGCAGTTGTTTGGTTATGGTACTCACCAAGTTAATTGCGAGTTCTGAGGACACATGTGACATTGCTAAAAAGTGGCCAGATGATCAGATGGTTAATAACAAACTTAGTTTTCAGGTTAGCAGGCAACATAATGGGCTGTGTTGGTGGGGGTGTGCTGCTGACCTGTAGTATGATCCAGGAAGTTCAGTGTGAGTAATAATACTATGGCTCTTCATACTATGGCTATGGCGTAAAATTGAGTATGTAGTGTGTGTTCCAACAGCATGGTATACATGTAAACTAGATTAACAAGAATTTGAGGTTACTGGACATATTCTTCTGTCCCAAAACGCATTGTGTCTCTACAAACAATGTGCAATGGCAGTACTATAATTATGATTGATGGAGAGTGAACATGAAACAGAAGCTTCTCAGGACCCAGGACGTTAAGGTACAGTTAAGAGGAACAATTCAGGAGCTCACAAATATAATGTAGCCTACTGTAGAAAAAATATTTAACATTTTTTAATTTGCCTTAAAATTATGCTGGACAGAATTAAAGTGAGCACATTGATTTTTGTGATAAACAATAATAGATAAACAATATTTGATATCAAAGGGGCTTCATGTCATGATTGACAGCTGAGCCCTGCAAGCCAATGAGTTGGCCGGGTGTATCACAGTTACAACCCCTATTGTGACCCCTGTCACCTTACTGCGCATACTCTGGTTCCAAATGACGTCACCAGTTTAAGATGGCAGTGCCCATATCCACGATATTTTGGCTTCAGTTTTGTGCACCGGGAGAAAGTGGAGACTAGAGGTGTACAGTGACATCATTATCTGTATCTGTTCAACCAACCAACCAATTATCTGTCTCTGTATCTGTATTCACCACTACGCAACATTTAACTGGGGGACAATGAACAATGAGAAACTTTTACGAATCGAAAGATACTGTATAAATAATAATAATACAATTTCCTCAGAATAGCCTCACTACAATTAACCAGAAAATAGACAAAACTAAGACAATTAAACAAAAATTATGAACAATAAATACAAAGAGTTATGGACACTGTGGCGGGTGCAAAAAGCAATATAAGGCTATAGAAATAAAATAACTGCCACTTTAACAGCAGGCTAAAATATCAGGAAAGCAGACATCACAAAGACGTATAAGCAATATTAACTCCTCAGCAGCTGCAGCCACAAACACACATATGAAAGCAAAGAGAACTGCACAGCTTTTACACACTGCATAGTACACACACACACACATACTTATACACACACGCAATGCTACGTTGCTAGGCAACGCAGTGGTTGTACTCACCTGTCTGAGTCATTCTCTTATGGACCACAAAGTGCAAAAGACTCACTGAAGGAAGATGTTTCTCAGCAATGTAGCAAATGTAGAAATCACTGAGCATTTGAGCATTTAGCCACACCCATCATGCACCTGTTGGTCACTGAACAACCTGGATGCTTTTAATTTGTGTCACTTTGTGGGTGGTGCATTAAGTCAGTAAGGTAATGCAACCTTTTTCTTTTTTTTTGATGCAATAAGATGCAATAATGCTAAATAATACCCACAATGACATCCTTAATTTTAGTGTATTATTGTGCGTTGTTGTAGCTACTGTTTACAAACCTCTAGGCCTGACCCGGGAAGCTGAACACAGCTTCCGTCAGACAGACAGACCAGCAGCTTCTTCTCTGCTGCAGTTGCTGAGTTAACGCCTTTCTATAGTTTCATTCTCACACGATTCATCACGTTCCTGAGCTGATTTTTGAGCAACTTTGGGTAAAAGAAGATGGATTCGGTTAATTTACATCTCTTGTGGAGATGTGCTTGGCTCCCAGACTAGAGCCGACTCCCATCGTTCACTTTTGTTGTGAACAAACAGTGTGGATTTGTGCATTTTATATCAAATAATTTGGAGACTCAAAATTCCTTCTCTCTCTGTGGGTGGGTGGGTGGGTGGAGGATATCAACTCTCAACAGACGGCTGAAGAGACCCCAAAGGAAGAGGTGAAAGGTTTGCTTTCCCTAAGTGCTGTTTCTGGGCAGTTCGACAATAAAACTTGCCACCTCTGATGCCGCAGACAGATAAAGCTTGGTGCCTGACTGTTAAAATGACAAAGAAACACTAACCAGAGATTACAAACAACCTATCAGAACTCTTTTGGAAAGAGGGCAGGAAACCCTAAACTGCCCCCACACACGTAACCATGGCAACTGACCTCCCTCTTTGTTTAATTACCTCACATCAAAGGATATTCTCCTCTTCACGCCCAGGCATGAGAAACTCCAGGACACCAGAGGACAGCCCTGAACAGTACTGTGTAAACAATGAGTACTGTCTTCTCAAAACTCAAAGCATTACCTTATTTAATTATATAATCTTTAAGTTACTTAACTAGGTCTCCCCGCTCCATTTGAGTAGTTATGTTACCATGTTGTTGTTGATATTGTTGTTGAAAAGAATCTAAATAAGTTAATTTTGCAGTTTCAGCAAGGATCAATGACATTGCCTCATTTTATTTTTTTAACACTTTATGACACTTCCTTTAGAAATGATGATAAAGAAATGTCATCCTATACTCAATTAATTTTCCAGCTCCTGAGCAGAAGATTGTTTTAGGATTAATCAATCCGAGCTCCCCCAATGCTAACTTTAAGGTTGAACTACTGACAATTGTTTTCCTTTTATCAAATGCTTAAAACTAAGAACGGTATGCCCGTTTGACAATTAAGGATTGTTTGTGTTAAGATATTTTATTACAATACGCGTAAATAGATTTTTGAATGGACATATTAAAAGTTTAAAGGTATGACAGTTTCTCAGGAAACCGGAAACAAGCCCTCAGTGGAAAAAAGGACTGCCCTCTGGGAACCACGCCCCAACCCACAAACGCAGCGACACACGCTGTCGCTCTCTCTCTTGTTCTTTTACTCTTCAACTGCACTTTGGCACGTGCCCAGCGGGCCCCGTCTCCCGGCAACGCTCTAAGAAGTTCGACCCGGCGCAGCGAAGGCTCTTCGTTTGTTCAAGCCACACACACGAAATGCCACGACCTCGGCCTTTTCCCTCATTTCCAGCAACTTACTTGTTTTTTTTTATTTTCTTTGGTTTTGTTTTGTTAAAGGTTATCAGACCGTTAAGTTACACTAGTTTAATTCAAGAGCGACCAAGTTATTTTTAAGCTTTATTCGTCGAGCTAACTTACACTGCTCCCACTGCCGGACCCAGCCACGTGGGCCCGCCAGCAGTAACAAAGGACAGCCAAAAGAACAGCCTAATTGCCAGACTGAGGACGGTCAACACTGGAGTGTTTTTCCTCACTCAGACACGGAGAAGCCCCGGAAAATTCCCTAGCAGAAAGCCAGGCATCGGGCAGCTAGCGTGGGGACCTGTGCAACAGGCCAAGGCAGTCCGCTGACCAGCAACTCGGCTGGGAGAAACGACAAGCAGTAAGACCAAACCAAGGTTTTCTGTGATCAGTGATGTCCAATAGTTAGTTAATAGATTATCTTTAACTCTTAAAACTCATAGCTTGCATTCGTTAGCTGCCCGTGTGAGTCAAATTCTCCCCACAATAGAACTCCTCATTTTCATTGTTTAGCCATTGTTTATTCCTTTGGTGTGTATTTAACCGCATTTATGTCACCTTAGTTAGTTAATAAATTTCACCGTAATCAAAGGAATTGTGTATGTGTATTGCCTACCTCTAAGTCCCTGCCAGGAGAATTTACCCCTTCGATATGAGACTGATTGTTTGATTTAGGATAACTGAGCGATTATTAACTAACTGATCACTAGTGATCAGATAATTGTATAATTATTAAAATGCTACCCAGAGGTCCGGAGACTCTGGGTGAATTAAATCTCCGGTGGTCTCCCACGAAACGAGAGCTTTATGAATGAATATTCTCTGAATATTAAAATTCATAATTTTGTATTAATTCTCATAAATTTATTAAAAACATAAGTAGACATGCTACACTTTACTATTTCCCGCCTCCTCTAACTTTTCTTGTGATCTGTTTGCTGTGTTTCCAGATGTCAGCAAATACTTTGGTGAGTACATTATCATAATCGGTATAAATGAATACCAAAACCATAAAAAAAATACCTAAATTGTAACAAACTGGAATTATCCTTTAACCATAACCACCAGTGTAACCTAAACTCAACTTAACCACAGCCCAACCTTAACCTAAAACCAAGAGTCAACGCTAAAAAAAATGCTTAATCTTGAGGGGACCAGGATTTTGTCCGCACATGCGAGATGAGTCCCCACAATGTGATTAATGCAGGTACGTAGGCCTTTTACACTAATAAGTCATTAGCTATAGCCACAACATGCCTCACAATATTCCAGACATTTCTGTTTCTTATTTGTAGCATCTCAACTGTCATGCACCAAATGAATCTTCCTGCTGCATTAGAGCAACAAAAACAGCCTGTGTGTGTCCTCACATGGGATCTTAATGATCAAACAAAACAGCACTCCTCTGGAGGGTTATCTTGTTCTATGATTCATCCATTGGCTATCTGCTTCCCTCGTTGCCTCTGCTGTATTTTGGCGTGTGCGTGTGTAATGTGACCCACTACAGAATTAAAAGATGCTCTGCTGGGAATACGGGGCAGTGAGAGCAATTTTCTCTAGGTGAGAAAACAAAGGGTGGTATTCTGTTTTGTATGAATAAATTCGAGAATGCGTCACTGAGGATACCGAGATACTGAGAATACTGCTATTGTTATATCGTTTAAATCACAGCATTTTATCACTGACAGGATTAAT